CAGGGGGCGGCGGCGGCGACGGTGGCGACGCGCAGGCGGATTCAGCGGAGCGATCCCAGGACTTGCGCCACTTCCCTATTCGCCAACTCCGCCCCCGCCCATCAGGGGCCGGCGGGTTCGCTACGTTACGCCACCAGCGCAGCAGCCCTAACGTGGATTGCTTAGCACCACCTACTGACCACCCCACACGCCGTCAGCGTAATCGCTTTGGAATCAATTCGTGGGCTACGCTGGCGACGCAGCAAATTTGGGTGGTTTTCGCGACCGACAAAAAGAACTGAAAACCCATTTCCCCGACTTTCTCCCACAAAGCTGGGAATGGAAAGAAGCTAGGAGATAGTAACCATAATTTGAGACTGTTCGCCAAAAATTCTTTCCGGGCATAATGTGGGGAAAAGCAGAGATAATTACAAGGACAGCTATTCACGAAACGTGCTGGTACGCAAATAGCGGTCGTTGACACCAAAACAAAATAGTACCCGAGTGGACAAGATGGTCTTCCGAAAGAGGGGAAAAAACTACCTGTCTGGAGACACGCAAGAACGCTTAGGTTTCAGGAGAGTGAACCAGTGGGGACTGGAGAGTAGGCCCAAAAGGTGGGGACTACGTCGGCGCGGAAGGACATTTTCAGCACAGCATCCAAAGAATCATGTGATCTGAGGGAAGGGCGGAGCATCACGTGGCGAATGCGAGGAAGTAGAACCGGCTCCTGGGAGGAGGGCACAGGGAGGTGGAGCCCGCAACCGCTGGAGCGGGAGACTGGAGGTTGGTGGGGCCAGCGCCGCGAGCAGAGGGCCGAGGGCTTCCGCAGCCTGGGGGCAAAGCCCGTTGAGCACGTCTAGTCAACCCCAGGGTTTGGCCTTTCTCCAGTTATATGCGTTTTCTGGCGACTTGGTTTTTCCTTTCATACATCTGTGTCCTACTGCTCTGAAGCTCAAGTTCCCTCAGGACATACAGCTAGCTGTCCTCCAGCTCCCAGCCAGGACGCCCATCCCATCAGTAAGACGTTTCCCACCAAAGCATCTGATGTAGATTTTCACTACTCAGTCCTCACCAAACCAACACCACCTTTTCCCCCTACCCGTAGGACCAGCAGCAGTCTATCTCCCCTCTGCCCTTCATGTCCCAAAACCCCAGAGAAGGACCTGGGGCAGCTTTGGTTTCAAAGTTATAATGCATGGTTTAAAAG